CACACACAGCGCCACCACAGGCAAGGTCCAACAGACATACACACACACAACAGACGAGTTCAGCTATGGGCACAGCACAACAAGCCCAACATACAGATATAAAGAGCATGCACAACACACATGCTGGCGACGATGCGGGGCAGATCTAATCCGGCTCCGGTGGGGGGGGCGGAGCCATCCGGAGTGCCATCGCACGTAGTTGGGTGATGATGGAGGTGATGGCATCTCTCTCCCTGGGGCGGCTAAGCGGCCGCCAAAGCTGCAAGTAACCAGACCATTTGAACAGAGCGTCAATAGCGCGACGAAGAGGGATACGCTGAATTCACAAGCCTATTCCTAACAGTCCACAGCGTCCAGGCTAGCACACCGATGGTCAGCCACCTAATGTGGCGAGACGAAGGTGGTAATGCCTGAAGTTCGGCGAAGAGGGCGGGGAAGTTGATGTGATCCCAACTTCCACCCACTATTTCACGGAGACAGCTCCATAGGAACTGCGCGGACACGCAGGTGAAGAGTATATGGTTCGAATCCTCTTTGGGCCCATAGAGTTGGGCCTTTCTTCGGGAATGCTTGCTCCGGAAGGGATTCAACGATCGGTGGGTGACCAGCGTGATGCAAATGGTCTCCTCGGGACGGACTGCGGTTAACATCAACGGCGAGATTGGCCCTTACTTCCCCACCTTCTGTGGGGTGCGGCAGGGCAATCCATTCTCCCCATTCCTCTTCAACATACTTGTTGATGCCCTGGCAGCCATATTAGATAAAGCTAAGGCTGCGGGATATATCCAGGGGATAGTACTGCATCTAGTAGGCGGGAATGGGATCTCCCTCCTCCAATATGCGGATGACAGCATTATCATGGTTGAAGGCTCTGCTAGCGACATCACGAACTTGAAGTTCCTCCTGCTTTGCTTCCAGTAGATGTCTGGCCTCAGGATTAACTTCGATAAGAGTGTGGTGATGGTTCTGGGATACTCCCAAGACGAACGCAAGAGCATCGCGGACCGGCTAAACTTTCAGCTCGGGAGCTTCCCCACGACTTATCTGGGGATCCCCATTAGTGACACGCGGCTCACGGTGGCCGAGCTACGCCACATGGTGGGCAAGCTCCAACACCGCATTGAGCCTTGGCAGGGGCGGTGGCTATCTAAAGCAGCCCGGACTATGCTCATTAACTCGTCCCTATCAAGCTTGCTCCTATTCATTATGAGCTTCTACAGCCTGCCTGAGACTCTACATCATGAGATCGCCAGAGTCCAGGGACACTTCTTCTGGGCTGGCGAGGGCGATAAGAAGAAGTACCACATGGTTCGGTGGACTGAGATCTCTAAGCCTTGCAATCAAGGTGGCCTAGGGATCATGTCCTCCAAACGCATGAACATTGCTCTTTCTGACTAGGTGGCTCTGGCGGATTGCGAACGGAGAGGTGGCTTATGGCTCCACATCATCCAGCAGAAATACCTCCGTGGCCAGCCACTCGCCTTCTATCAGTGGCCAGTGGTTCCCAGTTCTGGCAATCCATCATACAGCTTCTCCTAGTCCTCTGCATCGAGACGTCGATTGCCGTTGGATCTGGCAACGCCATGATGTTTTGGTTCAATCGGTGGGTTGGGAATGCCCCCTTCGTGGCTCGCTTCCCTGGCATGTTTGCCATCGTGGTGGTTCCGCGGATCTCTATAGCGGCGGCCCGTATTGACTTAGGGCAACTTGCGTTCCGGATACCGTTCGGGCTGGCGGAGAACGCCGAATGGCTTGACTTGCTCGACTGCATCACGCTAAACGAGCCCGATTTGGATCTGGAAGATGACTGCACCAGGTGGCGTCTAGAGCCATCTGGTCAATTCTCCACTAAATTCCTCTACAGGCGATCGCACCCTCTCCAGGCCCTGAGGCTCTCACCGCCATTTGGGAGATCCGTCTCCCCTTGAAGATTAGGATATTCTTGTGGCAATGGATCCGCGGTCGCCTACCGTCTAGCATGGAGGTCCTGAAACGCAACGGCCCTAGTTGCACACATAACTATAGAAAATTGCATATTGTATAGATTTACTAGCATAGCATTTGAGTAGTTTACCTTTGAGTAGGATCTGATAAAAGAAATGCCTTTGAGTAGTTACCTTCCTTCAGTATCAACGGTTCGAGCTCGATCAAATGCTTTGTCTCTGTATGTAGTGTGGCCATAAAAGTAAATGATGACGTTGGCAACTATTTTCAGACACGGAAGGGGCTTCGTCAAGGCGACCCCGCATCTCCCATCCTGTTTAACATAGTCGCTGACATGCTACCTACCCTTGTTGAGCGGGCTAAGCTGGATGGTCAAATTAGTGGAGTCACTCCACACTTGGTAGAAGATGGACTATCCATTCTACAATATGCGGATGACACGACATGGATCATGATCTAGATAAGGCAAGAAATCTCAAGCTGCTCTTATGTGCTTTTGAGGAACTTTCTGGCCTCAAAATTAATTTCCATAAAAGCGAACTTTTTTGCTTTGGTGATGTTGCAGAATCAGCACCCGAATATGCCGAGATTTTTGGATGCCAGCTTGGGCAGTTTCCGATTCGGTATCTAGGTATCCCCATACACTATCGACGTTTAACTATCGCTGAGTGGAGGCATGTGGAAGAGAGACTTGAGAAACGATTAGCCAGTTGGAAGGCCAAACTCTTGTCTTATGGGGGCCGATTGATCTTGATCAATTCCATCCTAAGCAACATGGTTTTATATATGTTGTCATTCTTCCACCTGTCAAAAGGGGTTCTACATTGGCTAGATTACTTTAGATCCAGATTTTTTTTGGCAGTCTGATAACGAAACCAAAAAATATCGACTTGCTAGGTGGAGCGTATTATGCAGACCTAAAAGTCAGGGGGGGCCTGGGAATCCAAGACCTTGAGATTAAAAACATCGCTCTTCTCAGCAAGTGGGTTTATAAACTACTCACTGAGAATGGAGTATGGCAGGAAATCATTCGCAACAAGTATGTGGGATCCAATGCCATTCCTCAAATTCATTGGAAACCTGGGGATTCACATTTTTGGAGTGGTGTCATGAAGGCCAAGGAATTCTTCTTCCAATTTGGGACCTTCTCGGTTAGGGATGGTTCTCAGGTTTGTTTCTGTGAAGATACCTGGTTAGGGAACAACTCACTAATGGTGCAATATCTGAGCTTGTGCCGGATTGTTATACATAAATTCATCACGATCAAATAAGTCTTCGGACAAGAAAACCCCGATATTTCTTTTCGTATGGATCTTTTGGGCACTCGTCTGGCAGCATGGAATGAATTACTCACTCGCCTGCAGAACATTCAACTGTCAGATGAGCCGGACACTTTTTGATGGAACTTGCATCAGAATGGAAAATTTTCGGTAAAATCCATGTATGATGCAATGGTTCATTGTGATGTTCCAGTGGATAATAGGAAATTGTGGAAGCTAAAAATTCCTCTAAGAGTGAAGATTTTCCTCTGGTTTCTAAACAAAGGAGTCATCCTAACCAGAGATAACCTGGCACGATGAAATTGGCATGGGTCCAAGACATATGTCTTTTGCCAACATGACGAGACTATTAAACACTTATTTTTCGAGTGTAAGTTCGCTTGGACAGTTTGGGCCATGGTCCAAGTAGTTTCCAATTTATACCCACCACGTAGTGCACGAAATATGTTCGGCAACTGGTTGCGGGGTATTGATAAACAATTTTCTGCACATATTCTTGTGGGAGCGGCGGCCTTATGCTGGGCAATGTGGCTTACCAGGAATGATGTGGTTTTTAACAATAAATGTGTCTCATCTCCTATGCAGGTTATCCATGTTTGTACACGATGGCTTCGTAGGTGGTCTATCCTGCAAAAGCCGGAGGACAGGGACTTTTTTATGATGGCGTCTACACGGCTGGAGCGTACGGCCAGGGAGGTTTTCTACTCACACGGATGGCGGTGTGATTTACGGATAGGGTCTACCGCTTCTTAGGCTGGACATGATTTATTGCTTGGCTTTGTATCGAATTATTTTATTTCTATGGTGCTCTGGACTTTTTGGCTGTGTGCATCTAGCTATGCAGAGGCCGGGCTTTCTTTCAATACGATTGTATCACCTCGATATATCTACTCAATGAAAAGTCCTTTATAAAAAAACTCATTTTCAATCAAGTTTCAATGGCCTTGATATATCACACAGACCGTGTAACAGTTTGTACATACCCATACAGAAAGCACCCAGAAAACTGATTTACATCACACTTTTTTTCTCCTTTAATGGACATTTTTACAAACATGGTTGAAAAAAAGGAAAACAAAGGGAGATTTGCTCCAGCTCCAACTTTCAACTCCTTTATTAAGTCACCAAATTAATGGACATTTTTTCATACATAGTCACACCGGTTCCTTTTACAGTCCAAATGGGTGACTTCTTACATGATCACATAGCATAGACTGGTAGCTACATGGTGTGACAAGTAAAGCAGCTACACAAGGGCACATGGGTTAACACGAACAACAGGACACAGGTGAAGATCGTTCTTCCTTCGGACCGAGATGCCCATCTCCTCCGCCATATCCAGCTCGCCGGGCATGGCCTTGCCGGGGAGTTTCCAGTCAAAGTGGTACAACAGTGTGGCGAGCACAATCTCCATATTGGCCTGCGCAAACGTGATGCCCGGGCATATCCTCCGCCCAGCACCAAACGGAAGAAACTCATATATCACACAGACCGTGTAACAGTTTGTACATACCCATACAGAAAGCACCCAGAAAACTGATTTACATCACACTTTTTTTCTCCTTTAATGGACATTTTTACAAACATGGTTGAAAAAAAGGAAAACAAAGGGAGATTTGCTCCAGCTCCAACTTTCAACTCCTTTATTAAGTCACCAAATTAATGGACATTTTTTCATACATAGTCACACCGGTTCCTTTTACAGTCCAAATGGGTGACTTCTTACATGATCACATAGCATAGACTGGTAGCTACATGGTGTGACAAGTAAAGCAGCTACACAAGGGCACATGGGTTAACACGAACAACAGGACACAGGTGAAGATCGTTCTTCCTTCGGACCGAGATGCCCATCTCCTCCGCCATATCCAGCTCGCCGGGCATGGCCTTGCCGGGGAGTTTCCAGTCAAAGTGGTACAACAGTGTGGCGAGCACAATCTCCATATTGGCCTGCGCAAACGTGATGCCCGGGCATATCCTCCGCCCAGCACCAAACGGAAGAAACTCAAAGTCTGTGCCCTTGAAGTCAATCGTGGTGGTCTCAAATCGCTCTGGCTTGAACTTCTCCGGGTCATCCCAGTGCTTTGGGTCCCTGCTGATCGCCCATGCGTTCACGAACACGGTGGTGCCCTTGGGCACGTCGTACCCCGTGACATTGCACGTCTCCCGGCACTCCCTCGGGAGAAGCAGTGGCAACACCGTGTGCAGCCTCAGGGTTTCCTTGATGACGAGCTTTAGGTACTTTAGGCCAGCCAGGTCATCCTCGGTCACCGTCGATTTCCTTTGGAGGCTGTTCCGCAGCTCGACTTGTGCCTTGTGCATCACTGGTGGATTCCTCATTAGCTCTGACATGGCCCATTGGAGTGTATTCGCTGACGTCTCGCTCCCGGCGTTGAAGAGGTCCTGTATGCCCATACACAACTTATCCATCAGCTTTTGGAACAAAAGTAGTGCATAAAGTAAATCATTTCTTATATTAGTCTCACTTTCACTAACCCTCGGTACAAATTCTTGAAAATCTGGGCCACATTGCACATTTTCAAAGTTTGGAATAGTAATCTTAGTAGATGTGCAACTTAACTGAAATGTTAGTTCAATTTCTGGTTTGTATAGATTAGAAATATATGGAATGACTTGTTGATTTGGATCGTTTGCTAATTCTCGATCTCCATAAACTTGCTGAAAATCTCAATAATGTTGCAAATTATTACAATGGTGTGATAGTAGTGAAATGGGCCTTACAAGGATGACCGCTTTGATGTTGCCTGTGGTGAGAGGCACCTCGAGGCCGTCTTCCTTCTGTATCCTAAGGAGCACGTCCACAAGGTCTTCCTCCTCTTCCTTGATGGCGCCTTCAGCTGCGGCCTCTCTCAGCTGCTGGTGCTGCCGGAAGACGCAGTCCATCAGCTCGTAGGTCTTGCGGTGGTTCAGCTCGGCGCGGCGCGTCGTGCCGCCGACGGCGCTCGCGAGCCTCCACGACGGTAACATGTCATCCAGGCTGAACCCCGCGCCGACCTTGACGATCTCCGCCAGCTCCTCCAGAAACTCCTCCCGCCTCTCGAACCTGTCCCCGATCATGGCGCGCATCGTCGAGTCCGCCACGACCGTGGCGATCCGCTCGCTGACGTTCACGGTTTCGCCGGAGGACGCCGACTGCGCGATGGCGGCGACGAGGCGGCGGACCTCCTCCTCCCTCGCGCGGCGGAACGACCGCACGCGCCGGGCACTGAGCAGCTCCGCGACGCACAGCTTGCGGAGCTGCCGCCACAGGGCGCCGTAGCGCGCGAACACGAGGCCCTCGCCGTCGGCCCGCAGCAGTCGCGTGGTGGCGTTCCAGGGGCGCGTCGCGAAGCTGGCGTCGTGCGTCTTCATGATCTCCCGGGCGGCGTCGGCGGACGAGGCCACGACGACGCGGAGCTCGCCAAGCTGCAGGCGCATGAGCGGCGCGTCGAGCCGGCGCGCGAGGTTGGCCATGGTGCGGTGGACCAGCGGCCCGCCGCGCGCGACTTGGTGGAGGTTGCCGATCACCGGCAGCCTCCACGGGCCCGGCGGCAGGTTCAGGCCATCGTTGCCGCCACGTTTCACGAGCTTGAGGAGCAGCGGAGGGAGAAGCAGAGTCAGGACGATGCAGAGGAGGTAGCATGCGGCTTGATCCACGGCCATGGTGTTCATGAGGGCGTAGAGTGAGCGCGTGCACGCACATATGCTCAGCCCAGATGGCCAGTTCTTGACTTCTTGTGAAGAGAGCATGCATCGCTCGAGGGAGTATGGGACAAATAAGCCGCGTCACTCCATCCAAACATTGTTGCTGAGTACAGCAGTACAAGAGTCGACTTTAGTGTTGTGGAAGTTGGCTTGGCGTCATTGGGGAGTTGGAGTTACTTGCCAACTCACAATAGCCTGTTGTGATAATGGAAGTGACCTTTTCTAATTCAAGTAAGACGGTGTAGCATGACAACTCACACCGTCAGTGAGTAATCGTGTAAATCATCAAACTGTGTGCACGCCACAATTGATATATGAACTCCGAAAAGACTGGTTTCTATAGAAAAGAAGTAAGGCCCTTCCCAGTGCTCCACCGTGGACAGGTGCTAAGCATGCCACATAAGCAAAAAAGTGACATGGCACAACATTTAAGAAGGGGAGAGAGTACTTTGATGACTCCAGGAAGAACCAATGCCAAGCGCGAGAACCTAGGCAAACCACTTAAATGAAACAATTTGGCCAATGCATGAAAGACTTTAGGTGCTAACTCATTAAATAAAGTGTGCTTAGCAACAACAAGCTAAGCACCTATGCATTGGGGACTTGAGTTGCTAAGGTATTTAATGCACTTAGCACCTCATCTAAGCACCTTTGCATTGGGAGTGGTCTAATACCCATGTTTGCTTCTCTTCCCAGCTCTCAAAGACTCAAACTTCAGTAGTATGCCCTCCGTCTCATAATGTAAGACATTGGGTTGGAGGGAGTACATGGGAGAGCACGCTCCCTACCCACCCCTTCCGCATCAGCCCTGCATGCGACAAGGAAGGAACCCTAGCCGCCGCCGGCCTTCCTCCCATCTTCCGCTCCCTTCCGCCGCCGCCATAGGGCACGCCCAGGCAAAGCCTGGCCGGCGACTCCTCGTCCCGGCGGTTGGTGGGTCGCGGCGATGCGGCGAGTGCCCTCCCGGCAGCGACGTCAGGTGGCACCATGGTGCGTCGGGCTACTGTTGGAGGGGCTTGCTTGCTACCGCTCGCGACCAGATCTGGCGCCGGATGTAGCGGGCCACGCGGGCCATGTGTGGCGTGGGGCCGGCGGCCACTGCGGGTCCTTGACGGTGGTGGCGGTTGGTCGTGGTGGCCCGGCGAGGTTCGGTGGTGGCGGCATGTGCTAGGGGCTGCTGGATGTCCCGGGAAGGTGGTGCGTGCTTGGGTGGCGACGGTGAACCCTTCGGATCTGCATCGGGGGCTCGTCCTGTTGTTGACTCATGGGCGACGAGGGTTGTGGTGGCGCGGGCCGACTGTCTCCAGTGGCTTCGGGTGTCGGTGATGGCGCGACGTGGTGGTGTGCGCCAGTCGGGTGTGTCCTACGGTGTGGTCATGGTGACCAGCTTGACTGGGGCGCAGGTAGAGCGGGTCTGTGGGGACGGCGGAGCTCACTTGTGGCCGTGCCCCGCCGGTGGCACAACGTGGCAGAGCGATCTCCCTTCTCCTCGGTCTATGACGTCGAAGTGGTTGTGATCTGGGGCGCGTGCTCGGGAGGATCTGCTCAGGGCCCGAGGCGTGTCGGAGTTGCCGCTCCGAGTAGGTGAGATTGGGCTTGATCCGGGTTGTGCCCACGGGTGGGGAGGCCCCTCCCTCCGTGGGTGCGGTGGTCGGTGGTGGTGGTCGGGACTTCACGGTGTTGTCGGGCAACACATAGTCGAGGGCCACAGAAAAGGAATCGTGCGAGTGTGTTTGTCGACGGCCATCGAGAGTCACGGGGTGTGTCTCCCCCAGTCCACCAGGACTGGCTGAGGACGCGAGGCTGGGGCCCCTACATGGTGGCACCGGCCTAACCGCCATGACTCATGTTGGGCTAGGAGTGAAAGGTGCGGCCTTCTACTCTTCCTATCGTGGCTGGTACTTTGCGGTGTGGGTGGTGGGTGAGGTGCCGGACATGGATGCCGGGGCGGGGGCTCCGGATGGCGGTTCGCATGATTGTCTCTCTGACGGGCACCATGGCGGCGGTGGTGGCTCCCATGTTGGCCATGCGGGCGATGAGAGCGGTAGCGGTTGGTGGCTCGGGCGCGTCCTCTGTTAGGCGTTGCTCAGGTCTGGATCTAGGGTCTGGGCACGCCGCGTTGCCCTGGGGCCTCGGTGACATGGGTGGGGTGCCGAGAGAATGCTCCACACTTTTTGAAGGCGTTGTCGCGAATCTTCTCTCCGCGTCAGAGTTCCTGGTGAAGACCCTTGCCCGGTGGGGCTAGGCAGTGACGACGCTCTGCGCCGTTATCCCTCTTGGGGGTGTTGTCTAGGAGCTTAGATGTCCTAGGGTGTTGCATGGGATTGTTTTCAGTTGTCCTTCGGTAGCGTAGTTGCTTGTCTTCTTCGCGATCCAGGTAGCATAGGATCTACTTTGTAAAAGGGTTACCTCATCATCTTGTATCTAGTTTGCCCGTGTACTTTGTTTGGTTTGTGCCTTTATTTATAAAGGGGGGCGAAAGCCTGTTTTACGGTACTTAGTAGTGAAAGGTATGTATAAAGGATTAAATCGAGTCCAAAACTAGTACATAGCTAGAGGCTAACACGCAGTGTCACGCTGTTTTTCACTCGTAGGATTAACTATTTCTTTCTGTACCAAGTTTTTGGCGTTGGTTGTCCTTTTTGGTTCCGGAAACACTAACGCTCACACGTGTGGGCGTTTGCATCTCGCCCATACACGTAGATCCGTGTCCGTTTGTGGGTGCACGAATCTTGGCATGTTTGTGGTGCCACGTAGGACTGGGTTGGTGTGTGGGCATTCACCCGGTCGCCCACATGTCTGTTTCACCACACGGAGGGGCAGGTGTGCGGGCGTTTAGCAGTTCGCCCACATGCCAGTTTTCACTCACGCACAAGGGCTGGTGTGTGGGCATTTTCCATCTCGCCCACACGCCCGTCTCCTCTCCCACACCCAAGCTGCCAGTTGTCATGCGTTTTGCAGTGTACATGGCAACTGCCCTAGTGTGTGCTTGTAAGCAGATGTCAACTCTTTTTTTTTACCCGAAGATGTCAGTTGCCATGTGTTTTCCAGGGTACACGACAACTGCCCTAATGTGCTTGTAAGAAGATGGCAACTCTCTCTTTTACCCGAACATGTTGTTTTGCCATGTCTCTTTGTAGCGCTACACGGCAACTGCCTAGTGTTAGTAGGTGGCAACTCCTAAGGTTTTCAAATCATGGCAACTGTAGTAAATCAGACCATACATGGCAACTGCTTAGTGTTAGTAGGTGGCAACCTCTAAAGTTTTCAACTCATGACAACTATAGTAAACCAGACCATACATGACAACAACTGCAGTTGTCCAAAATGGCATCTGGCACTTGACCTGAGATGGTAACTGCAGTTGAGCAACCATGGCAACTGTAGTTGTCCGACATGGCAACTGTAGTTCAGTGACATGGCAACTGCAGTTAAACGGCCATTGAAGAGGGTCCGGATCATGGCAACTGCGGGGACGCGTGGTGATTGTCACGCCAGGCGTGCGGGACCGTGAGGTAGGTGGCTGAGAAAGGTCGTGTGGGCGTTATGCATTTTGCCCACACGTAGGCGTGTGAGAGGAACCGCAAGGAAAAAAAAGAGGCGTGTGGGTGCTAGTTGCTTTGCCCACACGTAGGCATGTGAAAGAAACCGCAAGGAAAAAAAGAGGCATGTGGGTGCTAGTTGTTTTGCCCACACATAAGCGTGTGGGTTGATCCTCTTAGACACCACAAAAAATGTGTGCGCGGATCTCTTAAAGCCCACACGTATGACAGTTATCGGCGTCCGTTGGTTTTATCTATTTTGGTTGGAATTTTAATTATGTTCTGGTGATGTGTTTTTCTCATTCGTATATTAAGTTGGACTATTGTTAAAGTCTATATTTGTTTTGAGAGGAGGGTGAAGTTGTTAGCTGTATGGTTGTGGTGCCTTTATACATTTCGGCCTCAATGTTAGTCGGTGGTGGTTGTGTAGGCCCGTTTGAGATCTCTCATTCCATGTTAAAATTGTGGAATTGTTGCAATAATGCCCACATGGGCCAACCCACGAAGCTATCGCTCGTTCAGCTCGACTCCCTGCTTCGCTTGCCCATTTAGTTTTTTTACTCGCTCCACTGTTAGCTTAGAAAAAGCTAGCCATTGTTTTTTTTATTTGAGAAGTTCATTAAATAAAAAAAATCACGTACTTAAAATCTTGGGTTTTAAAAATTGTTGCATTAAAACATGAATTTTGGGAAAATGTTCGTGGATTTCATACAATGTTTATGAATTTTTAAAAGGTACACAAATAAAAAATGTTCACCGACTTTAAAAATATTCTGGTACTTCCTCCCTCCGTCCCATAATATAAGATGTTTTATTGTGGGGCGGAGGGAGTAATTTTATAAATATTCATGAATTTTAAAAATGTTTATCAATTTTAGAAAAGGTCATAATGTTCATGGATCTAATAAATATCTAGATCAAAATTAGGAAAAAAATAAAGAAAAGAGAAGAAAAAACCAAAAACAAACACGAAAAAAATAGGAAAACACCAACAGAAAAACAACTAAAACCGATGAAAACATAAACAAAAAGCAGGCAACACCTTCTCAAAATCGTAAAAACCACCGGACCCAGCGACACACACCCTTATAGGCGGAAACCATAGCGTCCCATAGCCCCTGATGCACTAAGAAACACCAAATCTAGAGAGCTTAGGCCTTGTTCGGAATCCCTCCTCTCCGCTCTGACTCCGCGGAGTTGTGGAGCTCAGTTTTAGCCGCTCCATGAAACTGAGCTAGAGCCTGGTCCGCTCTGAAGCGGAGTGGAGGGAGCGGAGAGGAGCCGAACACGGCCTTCGTATCTTAATAGATGAACTATACACCCCCAAATGTTCTAGTGAGCCGCAACTTGCTCCCTCGATGTAGATGAAAGTGTATAAGCGAAATTTTTGTATTTGCTTAGACTTAGACCGTGCAAGAAAATAATTTTTCGCTATTTAGGATTTCATATTCTTGTTACTAGATGTTCTGTAGGAATAAGAAGAAACCGTAACTCCTTTGAGCT